AAGCAAACAGTAGTGTTCTCTTTAGAGGCAGGGATTCGTAAATTGCAATACAGAGCTATAGAAACAGTTCAACACTTTCAGAAAGAAAGATTTATTACTAAAAGGTCAAACGGCTGCAATAAAAATATTTACAGTAAAAGGATGTAACTAAGATATATATATATATATATATATATATATATACAAAGAACCATAGCACAGCAAAGAGATATCAGAGAGAGGTGAAAGGGTTAAAGTACTTGCCAAAGTCCTGGGTTAGCAGATCCAAGTTTCAGAGCAGAAGAGTGCTTTAATCTCCCTATGTTACGATGGTCAATGGGAGAATTCTTCAACTTCCTTAATCTTAGGCCTGAAAGCCTGTTTTGTAGTCCTCAGGGTGTGGAGAGATGGGTGGATGCCTCAACTACAGCAAAATGCTCCCTTAACTCATATTTGGCCCATAACTTTTCATCTGCACAAGTGACATTCGACCCGCGGGTAGATTATTATGCAGGCAAGTCTGAGGATTGATTAGATATGCATTATGAAAGTGTACACTAAACGGTTCACGAGATCTATTTTTCTGCTTTCCTGTGTGTCCGAGACAAGGCGAGTGACCCATCAAACTGTTCGCCTGCTCATCGTCCATCTAACGATATGTTCGGTTTTTATGCAAGTCTCTCATATTCCAAAATATGAGACATAGGGAAAAAATGGTTTTAACCGAGGTTATCTGATTCTGTCACCTATGCTGAGTTAGGTTTTATAATTTTGAATTCTCTCTCAACTCAGGAGAAAGCTTGTTTTATCTCTTCCGAGGTGTGAAATGGTACAGCTTTCTGAGACAGCTAGGCACCTAGCTCAGAGACGCCTTGGCCTGCCAGTGACCCACAACCAGCACACACACACACACTGGCCAAATGTCTCCTCTCAGAGAGGGAGGGAGAGAGGGGAGAAAATGGATACTCTTAACAAAATGGAGTCTGCGTCCTTCACTGTGTGTTGCGCGTGTTTGCGACAGAAGCCACCCAGGTTCACCAACTGTGCACCACTATAAGGGCCCCAACAAAGCCAGCAGAAATAATTATTTGGGACTGCTCCATTATGTCCCTAAAATCCAATGAGCACCTTCAGGCTTTCAAAGGGATTTATTTCCTCATTACACTTCCTGACTACCTATCACAGTTCCAGAAGCCCAGAAATGCCAGGATAGCACCAACCTCCCCCTGCCCAAATGACCCCTTTTTGGAAAGTAGAAACCCCAAGGAATTTGATAAGAAGCATGGTGAGTATTTTGCAGATCTTGTTTGTTGCCACGTTTTTGGAAAATGAAGAAAGAAAACAAAAACATTTTTTCTTATCTTTTTTTATATTTCAAAACCTTGTGAGAAAAAATGAAATCTGCAAAATACTCACAATGCCCCTTATTAAATTCCTTGGGGTGTCTACTTTCCAAAAAGGGGTCATTTGGGAAGGGGGAGGGGGGGGGGGTTGTGCTATTCTGGTATTTTAGGGCCTCTGAAACTATGATAGGAAGTGAAGACGTGAAATGAGGAAGTTACACACCTTCAGGTTTTCAAAGTGGTCTTTGGATTTCAGGCTCCTGTATGTGGCTAGGCCCCCAAAAAGTCTCACCTGTGGTATCCCCATACTCAGTAGAAGTAGCAGAATGTATTTTGGGGTGTAATTCCACATATACCCATGGCTTGTGCTAGAAAGAAATCATTTAAATTACAACTTTGTGTAAAAAAAAAAAAAAAAAAAAGGTTTTGGTCATTTTCCCAAAAACTTGTGGAAAAAAATAAATCTTCCATGGACTCAATATGTCTCTCAGCAGATAGCTTAGGGTGTCTACATTTGGTGGTGTTTGTACTGTCCTGGTATTTTAGCACCTCAAGAAATGTGATGGGCAGTCAGAAAGTAAAAGCTGTGTAAATTCCATTATCTATACCATAGTTTGTAGATGATATAACTTTCACACAAAGCAATCAATATACACTTCTTGGGATTTTTTTTTACCAAAAACATGTAGTAGAATACATTTTGGCCTAAATGTATGATGAAATTTGAGTTTTTTTGGATATTTTTTGCCAGAAATTAGAAAATATTTTTTTTTCAAAATTTTCAGTCTTTTTTTGTTTATAGTGCGAAAAATAAAAAGTGTACATGTGATCAAATACCACCGAGAAAAAGCTCCATTTGTGTGAAAAAAGGGATATTTCATTCATGTACAGCATTGCATGACCGTGCAATTGTTAAACTAGTACAGCGCTGTATGGCAAAAAATGGCATAAATTGCAGTATCTATACCATAGTTTGTTGACGCTAGAACTTTCACACAAAAATACACTTATTGGGATTTTTTACCAAAAACATGTAGCAGAATACATTTTAGCTTAAGTTTATGACTAACTTTGAGTTTACTATATATTTTTTATAACCAAAAGTAATTTTTTTCAGAATTTTTGATCTTTTTTTTGTTTAGAACGTAAAAAATAAAAAGTGCACAAGTGATCAAATACCACCAAAAGAAAGCTTGATGTGTGTGAAAAAAAGGACATACATTTCGTTTGGGTACAGCATTGCATGACCGCGCAATTACCAGTTGAAATAGTGCAGCGCCAAATAGCAAAAAAAGGCCTGGTCATTAAGGGGGGGGGGGGGGGGTAAATCCTCAGGAGGGCAAGTGGCTAACATCTATAGTTGGGAAGATACTGGAGAGTTTAATAAAAGACCACATAGATGAATTCTTGCTGAAAAAAAAAAAAAATATTGTAAGCAACAGACAGCATGGATTCATGAAAGACAGTTGTCAAACAAATCTGATTTCTTTTTATGGTGGGGGGGGGGGGGGAGCAAAACCTTGAACAGAGGGGTGGCGGTGGATGTGGTATACTTGGATTTTGCAAAAGCATTTGACACAGTTCCCCACACATGGCTAATGTGTAAGGTAAAGTCAACGGGCTTGGAAAAATCTGTATGTAAAGTCTCCAACTTACAAGCCGACCTCAATGCACTGTTTAATTGGGCAACTATGTGGCAAATGAGGTTTAATGTTGATAAATGTAAGGTTATGCACTTGGGGGCTAAGAATATGCATACATCATACATACTAGGGGGGTACAACTGGGGGAATCAATGGTGAAGGATCTGGGAGTTCTGGTAGATCACAAGCTTAATAATGGCATGCAATGCCAAGCTGCGGTTTCTAAAGTGAGCAAAATCCTCTCTTGTATTAAGACGTATAGACTCCAGAGAGAGATATCATATTACCCTGTACAAATCATTAGTAAGAGCTCATCTGGAATATGCAGTTCAGTTTTGGGCACCAATTCACAAAAACAACATTGGGGAACTGGAGGGAAGTACAGAGAAGGGCAACCAAACTGATAAGAGGCATGGAGGAGCTCAGCTATGAGGAAAGATTAGAGGAACTGAATTTATTCTCTTGAGAAGAGGAGATTAAGGGGGGATATGATCAACATGTATAAATACATCAGTGGTTCATATAGTGAATGTGTAGTTATTCATCCTGAGGTCATCAGAGAAGGACAAGGGGGCACTCTAAGTCTGGAGGAAAAGAACTTTAATCTCCCAACACAGAAAGGTTTCTTCACAGTGAGAGCTGTGAACATGTGGAATAGACTCCCTCAAGAGTTGGTTCTGGCCAGCTCAGTGGATTGCTTTAAAAAAAAGCCTGGATTCTTTCTTAGATACACAGAATATAACATTTATAGGTAAAGTTGATCCAGGGAATATCAGATTGCCTCCTGGGGGATTAGGAAGGAATTTTTTCCCCCGTAGGAGAAAATTGGATCATGCTTTGCTGGGTTTTTTTCCTTCCTCTGGATCCACTGTGGGTATAGGATTATAACTTTTTTTTTTTATGGTTGAACTGGATGGACTTTTGTCTTTTTTCAGCCAGATTAATCCAGCAGAGTGTGTGGATGAAGCTCCCGTGACAGATCCTCCCCTCTCCACTGACGTGGGGGGCTGTTGACCAGGAGGACACTGATAAACAGACTACAGGTACCAGTCAAATTCATCCTAGTGAGGCAGTTAACTTCCTGGCCATCCCAGTCACATGGGGCATAGTCGCGGCAGACCGAGTGCGGAGATGGCAGTCTGTGCATGCTCGCTGGTCAGGATGGGGTGACCTAGATTACCCAGCCAGACTGTTTATGGAAGATCTCTGCAGGAACACAAAAGTCCGGGGGGGAAAAAATTGTGTGCCCACAAGTCCCAGCAATCCTCATCCATACTCCTGAGACACCAGACAGCACAGACTGCAGACCTATAGCAGAGAGGGGGTTTTATACCCATTGGACAGCCCATAGGCGGTGCCAAGTCTTTGTTCCGCCTAGTGTCCTGCTCCTGTAGGTGGCGCTATAAAACCCTGCTTCGTTGATGTTCCATAGGAAGCCGCTGTGTCCGTCAATGACCGGAAGAGGACTAGTTTTGGTTTGTGTCGCTTACATGGAGTGTAGTTCCGCTTTAATGAATAAACTATCATACGACATATATTCGGCATTCTGCTCTTCTCAGAGATTCTAACCCGCTCAGAGTTCCTCTGTGTCTTCCAGTCCATCTCCGCACTCAACCAGCAGCAGCTGGAATGAGAACGTCGAAGAGCCACACCCAATACCTCTGCCAACAGCCAATGGGCTGCCCCATCTAACTAGTAGGCAGATGGCGCATGCGCAGATACTGCCAGACGGTCATGCGTGCTCTAGGACTCTCTGGCATTGCCTGAAGTTACCTTACAATTTGCTCCGCCCTTCCTCTATCTCATAGGCCAGTTCCCTCTCCTCAAGGGTGCGCAGAAGCCAATCGCTACGCATCCAACGTGATCTCTCACGGCCGCAATTTCGCTCCATCGATCCTATTGGACAGAAACGGGAGACCCCAGTCCGCCGCCACGTGCGGTGATTGGCCGGTCGCTCTGTCCCTCCGGGACGCATCGGGGAGGTGTGTGGCGCAGGAGGATTTTCCCCGTTGTCGTCTGCCCAACTCGAGGCATCATGGCGGAGTTTGCGGGACTGGATGGGGACGGTGCTGCAGGAGCGGAGGCGGCCGGCGAGTCCACGACCGTGGAGTCGGGAGGGGTGGAGGAGCGGGGAGAGGCCGAAACCCGGGTGGTGGCTGCGGAAAGCGAACCGGAGGACGAGGAGGACGTGTTCGAGGTGGAGAGCATCCTGGACTCCAAGATAGAAGGGGTGAGCCCGGGAGCTGACGTGTGCGGGGCCTGCTGGAGGGACAACAAGTGCCAGCATGGCTAAGCTCGCCGGGTGCTTCCTGTGAGAGGTGCTGCAGATAGTGGCAGCTTTCCCGCACACTCCATTACTGGCAGGATATTGGGGAGCTCATCTTATAGGGGGTCACTGAGCTGTCTGCTCACAACAGAAGCTGGAACATGTAGTGCGCCTGGCTTCCCCCAAACTGCGCTCTGCTCTATGGCAGCCTGCTGGCGATGGGGTACAGGTCGTGAGAGCTCTGGCAGACACTTGGAGGTGCCCTGACCATGGGGAAATGCTAGTTGCCTGGCTGTCCTGATCATTTCAATAAAGCAGGGCTTGACAAATCTGATTTGAATCTAGGAGCCAGCTTTTAAAATTGGCTGCCTGGCGCCTGGAACTGCATGTTCGTTACATCGGGCGATAGGAATTGCTCACGCCAAACAAAGTTTTCTTTAGGTTCTGTTTAAAATTTTGCATACAAGTATTTTCTCTCCACTGATGTGCTCTGAGGCAGTGCTGGGCGGGCCCCTGATGGGCAGTGCTGGGCGGGCCCCCGATGGGCAGTGCTAGGGGGGCCCACGATGGGCAGTGCTGGGCGGGCCCCCGATGTGCTGGGCGGGCCCTGATGGGGCTGCATGAATAATGCTCTATTACCTAACTCAAACCTAGGTTTCTTTCTTAGTGGGGGTGGATAAAATGCACTGAAGCTATAGCCAGCTGCCCCACACTCCCTGTCCACTCACCGGCAGAATCTGGTACACGCAACTGCAGTCCCAGCACCCAGCTGTCAAACTGGGAAGGAGATGTCGGAGGTGGGTGGGCAGTGAGAGCAAGCAAGGGGAAGTTCTCAGTCAGAATGGCAGGCATGCACAGCCCTGCCCAGCAGAAGAGCGTGCCGGTTCTCACAAACGAGCGCTGTATTGCGCTCCAGCAGGCCGCAAAGATGCGGTCTCAATTACCAGACAGCCTGATCGCTGCACCGGTGGGGGGAGGGGTGCACGCATCGCTACATGGGGAGACCAAATCCAGACCACTGCTACAGTGTAGCCCAGGCTCCAGGATGCCCCTGGGGAAACCCCACCATGGGGGGGGGGGGGTTTCCCCATTTCCTTCAACCTACTTGTTGAACAAAAAGAGAAACTTGGTGTATACCCTGCCAACCTGTTTTTATAATACAACTAGCTAGCCTGCAGATGTAACAGTTATAGGGTGAAGACAAACCATTTACCACTAGCAGGGGTGCTTACAATGATCAGATTTTATTTATGTAAAACATTTTATCCCAAAAGGAACAGGTCATTGCTGTAACTGCTTAAAAAGTGATAGCCGGAGTTCAGCTTTGTTAGTATATCTAAATCTGCTAGTATATCAGATATACTAGCAGATTTGGATATAAAACACTACCCTCACCCCAGACTGTTGCTGTCTAAAGGTGTCTCTGTTGCTCCTTCAGCCAGGGTGGGGGCACTCTAATGCAGGAGTTTTTTGCTGGCCAGAAGTGGAAATGGGGGGTGCTGATGCAGCCACCACACCTGATGATTGGTAAGATGCAATATAATACATTTTTGGTTGTGGGTTTAAAACCGCTATAAGGCCGCCTCCAAGCTGCATTCATGGAGGCACAATTGAGGGGTGTCCATACCAAACATTCCATCCTTGGTGCAGATCAGTAACCTTTAGCCGGATACACCTCACAGGCGCAGCGGCCGGGCAAAGATTGTTAGGGCCAGTTCTCACTCCCTGCACTGTACAAAGGGAATGTCTGTTTTGGCTGGTGTTGCCTTGCTTCCTGTCACTTTAACCACTTGCCAACCGCGCTATAGACGAATGACGGCTACAGCACAGTTGTCCAGTTGTGGGAGGGTGTCATGTGACATCCTCCCAGAACATGTGCGCTCTGTGTTCGCGGTGTCCTATGGACACAGCTGATCACATGATGAGGTAAAAGGCCAATCACAGCAGCCTTTTACCACATAATCAGCTGTGTCCAGTGACACAGGAGATCACAATGTAAATACAGTTGCCTGTTACAGTGTGAGGAAAGTACTGCCAATAACGGCAAATGACACAGAGGACATCTGCAGTGATCATCAGGGCGCCCCTCAGTGTCACTCAGCAGTGCTGCCCATCATTGCTGCATATCAGTGCAGCATCATCAGTGCCTCCTCATCAGTGCAGCATATCCATGCCATCTCATCAGTGCAGACTCCTCAACGGGCATAAGTGAAGGAGAAAAATTACCTGTTTGCAAAATTGTATAATAGAAACAAAGAAAAAATTTTTTAATTTTTTGCTTTTTTTTTTGCTTATAGTGCAAAAAATGAAACACCCAGTGGCAATTAAATACCACCAATAGAAAGCTCTGTGTGTGAAAAAAAAATAATTTTTATATGGGTTACAATGTTGCATGACCGCGCAATTGTCATTTAAAGTTCGACAGCACTGAAAGCTGAAAATTGGCCTGGGCATGAAGGGGGTAAAAGTGTCCGGTAGGCAAGTGGTTAAAATAGTTTGTGTAGACCAAGCAAACTGTTACCTTCACTAATGGATGAGGCACCTGTCAACACTAAATTAACTGTTGCATCAGTGCTGTGATTTCCTGTCCCACTTCTGAAACAAAATGGAGTCGGGCTGAGCGCTGCTCAGCCATTCACACAATACTTTGTATTATTGTAGAATGCTGAGGTGTAGATTATGACGTCGTCCATTTGCCTCTTCACCTGAGCAAAACAGAGGAAGCCTTGTACTCGTTCAGAAAATACAAACCTTCCTGTGAATGGCTGGGTAGCCCTTAGCCATATTCAATTTTGTTCTGGCAGCGGACGGGATGTCCCTGTCCTGCTCCTTGGACACAGCGCTATATACTGTATGTAGCGGATGCTATGTACAGTTTATACAGTGCTCACAGTGGTGCTTCTGTTAGCGAAGTAAATAGTTCTTTGGACCAGCATGGTCCGAACAAAATATTCTACAGTGACAGCTGAAGTTTGACTCTGCACCTCAGCCGAAGACTGCATTCAAGTGTGAACAGGGCACATAGAAAACAATTTTTTTGTGTGCACTTGCGGAGAACTGAATTTTTCTAGCATTGAAAACTTTAGGTCTCCACACAAGTGTGAATGAGTCCTTAATCAGTGGTGCTGAGCCTGCATTTTTAGGCCTCATGCGCACTGGACATTCATTTCAGAAGCTACTTTTTTTTTTTTTTCCTGTCTCTGAGCTCCCCTGCATGTTATCCATGCACACATAATCTTTTAGTGGCAGGAAAAATCCGAATGCTAGTGTGTCCTAGAACAGCGGCGTTTTGGCAAAAAAAAAACCGCTAGGCACATTTAGCGCTTGAGTATTGATTTATTTCAGTGACCAGAATAAATTATTTAAGCTGGCCAATTAAATTAACATCCAAACGCTTGACACAGGTAAACGCGTTACACACTTTTACAAGCATCGGGCATCCAAAACACTGCTGCCAGGGAAGAAAACTAAAAGTCAGTGTGCATGAGGCCTAAACGGGCTCCACATCAGAGTTGACTGCTGCAGGTTGGAAAATAGCCACCTTGGGGGCCTCTATACAACCTTGCTCAGTTTTGTACAGTAAGGAAAGAAATAATTCCTGTCAGGTTTGTCTTTCTGTGGGGAGAGGGTTTCCTGTTTCGGGTAATAAACAGGAAGTGAAATTTCCCTGGAGTAAGGGGTATTCCCCTCTTAGAGGTTCTTTGTACTATTTACTGTTCTCACCAAAAGTGAAATTTTGAGTGTTCTGCAGATCAGAAATGGAGGAAAGTTCTACCAATATGGACAATAGTTCATAGTCGGGGAATCCCTGGTTGTCACCAAGGGGATTTCCCCACTTCCCGTTTAAGATATGTGACTGGAAGTGAAGGGAAATTGCCATAGTGGGACACACGTGTCCAAAAAAAAAAAAGTAATGAATGTTGAGATAACACGTTTGGCTGCTGGCAAACAGTTTGATATACCCAAACCTAAACGTACAATATAGTGTAGCGCCAGTGAATATAACAAACATATAAAAATAAATAAACCGTGTTCAGTGTGCCAAACATGAAGTCTCTCTTAAATCAAAGTCCATATATACTCGGATAGAAAAGAACTTCCATCATCCAGTAGATCCTTGTAGTGTGCCTCAAACACAACCCCCCCCCCCCCCAATCTATTTTTTTATTTCTACAAATTTTAAAAGTTTATATTTATAAACCCCTTAGTAGAAAGATATAATAAACAAATACTTATGCATGCTTGAGATTGCAAAAGACGAAGCACATATGGACCGATGCATTTCGCCCCAGAAAAGGGCTTCTTCAGGATCCAATTTGTTTTTGCAAAAATGTACACTTTTGTAGCCAAATTAAAAGATGTACATATATATCGGTCACAGACGACAAGGATACACAGCCAAAACGGCAAATGACAATCACATCACATGGATAGCTTCAAGAGAGTGTACGGTCAAACAAAGAGCAAAAAGATGAAAGCCTAGGTCCCATTAAGGATACAGATCCCTACAAAGGAATCAGTCTCCTAGCATGCATGCAGAAAAACACTTATGAAGAAAGCCAGACATGGAGAGAGACTCCTGGATGTACTGTATATATTGTATGGGATGAAAACACCTAAGGGGGAAACTCAGGCTTTGATCCTTCCTTCCTTCTTTTTTTTTTTTTTTTTTTTTTAATCATTTGACCTTGATATCTCCTTGAAGCTATCCATATAATGTGATCAACGTTTGCTGTTTTGGCTGTGTATCCTTATCAACTGTGACATAGATATATATGTACATCTTGTAATTTGGCTTCAAGCGTTTACATTTATTCAAAAACTAATTGGATCCTGAAGAAGTCCTTTTTTTTGGGTGAACCGCGTCGGTCCATATGTACTTCGTCTTTTAATCTTAAGCATATGTGTTTGTTGATTTAATTGTAGACTGTATTATATGCTTTTCCTATGAGATTTATACATATAAACTATTAGATTTGTATAAATAAAGAGGTTACATGTCTTATGAAGGGATCCTGTGAGACTCCGAAACATTGCTCTTGCTGTAACAGTGTGATCGCTGAATAAAACTTTGGACCCACATTGAAGTTACTTGTGACATTCTTCTCCTTTGGGTAATCTGCAGGCCTCATTCGCACAGGTGCCAAGGCCTGTAGAGTGCGAGTTGGTTGTGTGTTTATACAGCTTGAGCCACCATGTGCTGTGTGCAGGCAGACCATATAAGTCTATGGTTATGCAGTGGCTTCTCTGACACAGCCACTCATCCTAATTTGGTATGCGTTTGAGTGGCCCCAAACACATATGGTCATGCACGTTGTACAGAAATTTTCCAGTGTGTTGGGAATTCTATGCACCTCAGAGAAATTTTTTATTTTTTTTTTTGTTTTGTTCAGCCAGCAGGCTGAATGAAAAAGAAACTGAACTGATTCCCCACTTCCACACATTTGAGGTGGATGATGGATCCTTTCACTGTGGTGTTGTATTCTGACAGTGGGGACAGCCATTGATTGTGCTGCCTTTACCCAACAGGGCAGTTGAACAGAAGTCCATCATAAAGTCACAGTATAACATGATGGGGAAATCTGTTGCTTTGCCAACATGGGCAGTCTTTAACGTTTGGCAGAAGTTGTGTTCTAGCAGAACTTATCTGTATCATGTACTCACCCTTTTTTAATGTAAAGTGTGTGTATTCTTGCTGTGAAGAATGGAATCCCAAATACTGCTTGTTTTACTTTGATCTGTCTATTACTGCCTGTAAGGCAATGGTGCTTGGTGCCAGCTTATCGGTATTCATGTTCTAAATGGAAAGCAGAAAGTGAGCGCTATATGTCAAAGCAGCTGGGACACCAAAAAGGTACCAATACAACCTTCCCATAGCAAAATCGAAAAAGTAAAGGTGCAGCGCTTGTAAAATCAACAATATATATCATGCGGTAAAAAAGCATATAACTTAGTATATGGTGCACAATCAAATGTCCATGTGACGGTCAAGATATGAAATATGGTATTGAGGATTTCTTCCCAACCACTTTTGGTGATAAATAAGTAGATTGCGCACTCACCAGATGCACAAAGTTATTGCGCATTTGAGAAAACAATATCTCACTGGGTCAGCTGGAACACCTTGAAGAGGGTTTCTCCCATCTGATATGGATTCCTCCCTGGGTACCTCCTGGAAGAGAGCAGCTTCCCTCTCCTCTGCACAGAACTCATATGAGTGTGTGCGTAGCACGAAACGCATCAGAAGGAGCTACAACGCTGTGATGTCACGCTGCTGAGACCCTGTGGTGGTCCGGTAGCCATCTTGCCTACACATGGTCAGTTTTTTTTTCTGTTACCTACCTTGTACCTTGACTTGGAAATAAATATTTTGAAGCAGTGTCACGCTATGTGGCCTCCTTTTTTGGGCTCTTTATGAGTCCAACCATCCGCAGAGTTCTGTGCAGAGGAGAGGGAAGCTGCTATCATCCAGGAGGTACCCAGGGAGGAATCCATATCAGATGGGAGAAACTCTCTTCAAGGTGTTCCAGCTGACCCAGTGAGATATTGTTTTCTCAAATGCAAAAATACTTTGTGCATCTGGTGAGTGCGCAATTTACTTATCAGAAGTGGTTGGGAAGAAATCCTCAATAGCATATTTCATATCTTGACCATCACATGGACATTTGATTGTGTACCATATACTAATTTATATGCTTTTTTACTGCGTGATATATATTGATTTTACAAGCGCTGCACCTTTATTTTTTTCGGTATTCATGTTCTGCTTTTAGAAAAGAGAAATTATAGAAAATACACAAATGTTGACCTCCCAGTCTGATTTTAGAGTTCAGTATACAGCAGTGGTCGGCAAGCCGCGGCTCGCGAGCCACATGCAGCTCTCTACAAGCTTAAATGCGGCTCTTCTGTGTGCCCCGCTCCCCTCCCTCCTCTCCCTCCTCTCCCTCCCTCTCGGGACGGGCGTGTGCCGGGCGGCCGCCCCCTCACCTCCCCTCCCTCCTCTCGGGCGGCCCAAAAGTCAGGACTCTGCAGCTGTCAGGATGTAGGCGGGGCAGCAGGATGTAGGCGGGGCAGCGTGACGAACTCCTCTCACAGTCCGCCCTGAAGACCAGAACGGCGCGGGAAGCACGACGAGAGGAACGCGCGGAGCAAAGGTAAGTGAATTGACACAGGGGGGACTTACTATATGGGGGATGAATTACTATATGGGGGACTTACTATATGGGGGGGACTTGCCATATGGGGGATGAATTACTATATGGGGGGGGACTTACTATATGGGGGGGGACTTACTATATGGGGGGGGATATATGGGGGATGAATTGCTATATGGGGGATGAATTGCTATATGGGGGATGAATTGCTATATGGGGGATGAATTGCTATATGGGGGATGAATTGCTATATGGGGGATGAATTGCTATATGGGGGGTGAATTGCTCTATGGGGGGTGAATTGCTCTATGGGGGGTGAATTGCTCTATGGGGGGTGAATTGCTCTATGGGGTGAATTGCTCTATGGGGGGTGAATTGCTCTATGGGGGGTGAATTGCTCTATGGGGGGTGAATTGCTCTATGGGGGGTGAATTACTATGGGGGATGAATTACTATATGGGAGATGTATTTTCAGTTTTAAAAATGTGGCTCTCAAAATAAATTTCAATCGTGGTTTTGGCGAGATTTGGCTCAGTTGAAAAAAAAGGTTGCCCACCACTGGTATACAGGAATATTGTATGGTGTGGCAGTCTCCTATATAAATGTATAGTCATGTACAGTATTCATTTTTACATTGCTGGTTTTTTGATACTCGTTTTCTGCTGTTTCCAGGGCCTCAGTCAGATTTGCAGTTCATGTGTCCAAGCTGAAGTGATAGGTTAAGATCTCTGTAAGCTAGTCAAGGGACCTAGAACACACAACTGAAAGCGGAGTTCCACTCACTCTATATAAAAAAAAAGTCAGCAGCTACAGAAACTTTTAAAAAACAGCCACTCACACCTGTCCACACGATCCTGCGTTGCCCCCGCTGCAGCCCGTTGGTGGAGAAAGTGTATATGATTATGTGTATGCGTTAGCAAAGTACTGTGTTTTTTTTTTTTTTTTTTTTTTTCCTTCCTTTTGTCATGGAGCATTGAGTTATACCTATCAGTATGCTTATACAAGTACTCATGTTCGATAAATGGTCTATAGTAATACTGTGATTTTTATAATATTGTGACTTGATAATAGTTTTAACTTTATGGCTAGCTTCACATTTGGCGCTTTGTGATCTTGAGCAGAATTGCTGTGATTCTGACCACGGTCCCAAAGCACTCTGCAGTAATCACAAACACACCTTGCCTATTCGGGTGCCATTCATATACAATGCAGGGATGTGCAAATCATATCGCTCAACGCCTGGGACATGCAGTTCTGGGCGCCGGGCAGGTGTTTGTGGGGTTTTTATTTTTTTTAACCATATAACCCAGCTGCAGGCAAGCAGCAGGGTTTACTTTTTTTTTTTTTTTTTTTTTTGCGTGCTTCATTTCCCCCGCCCCCCTCAAGCTAGTTATAGGCACAGTCTGCTTGCCACAACACTGCTTTTCCCATAGAGCCCTTCGACGGCCAATCGTCTGCCAGCCACCCACACCCCTGCCACCTTTTGGCCGCCAGGGCCTGTCTGTTACTGACTTCCTCATTTGACAAGTGAGATGTTTGCTATGACAGGCAGCGGCTGCACACAGCCTCTTGGGAGATATAGTTCCTCGGTCTGTCTTCAGCCTGCAGATCACTACACTTCCCGCACCCAGGGAGAAAGGGGGGGGGGGGGGTGCTGGGGTCACCGATCATCCTGGCTGGATCACAGGTGGTACATTCACCTCTCTTTTGTCCATTACACACATTGGTGCTGAGTAATACTGATCCAGCCTGCCTAGATGCCTGGGGGTGTCTAATTCCTGCATGTCCTCCAGAACCTGGGAGCACCATCACACTCCTTCCTGAGCCAGGCCTGTCCTCATTGTGTCACCTCACACTACAGGGAGGATGACTGCAAAGCCTAGCCTCCCTTTGCTCTTGGTGTCCACCCTACGGTAGATGGGCATGTGGAGTCAGGAGCATGGGATGCAGAGCTTGATGCACCACTTTCCTGGTGAGCACCCAATTGGTGCTCGCCACACTGCAAGGTCCCCCCTCCCTCCCTGCTAGTCCCTGGGTGTGTTTGTTAAAATTATTTTTTTCTTATAGGACTAAGTAGATTGTCATGAGGGACAAGTAGATTGGGACCCGTTTTAGTCCCATGGACCAGCATTTTTTTCCACAAATTTCCACACCCCTGCAGTGGCACCTAAACGCTGTGAAGTTTAGTTTTGCCTGATTGTTCAACAAATCGCAACGCGTGAAGCTTGTCCCCAGAAAGTGGCATGAGCTTCTTTTGGGCGACAAGTTTCGCATGTTGTGTTTTGCCGCAATTTCCGTAAGATTTATCGTGCAAAAATCGCAGCAAAACTGCACCGTATTTAGGTGTCATTGAAAATGAATGGCACTGAACAAGAATGGTGCGTTTTGTCATTATTCCAGAGCAATTTGGGATCATGGACAGAATTGCAGTGATTCTACCCAAGATTGTAAAATGTCAGATGTAAACCTAGCCTGAATGCAATATCTTCACAAGGCAGCTGTTATTGATGTGTCTGATGTCATTGATTGTTTATCATTCACACTGTTGGGTTTTTCCAGGGAAAGGTGTTTTACCGAGTTCGCTGGAAGGGATATGATTCAAGTGGTGACACCTGGGAGCCAGAGGCCCATCTTGATGACTGCAAAGAGGTTCTTCTTGAATTCAGGAAGAAACAAGCAGAAAGTAAACTGAAAGCTGCTAAGAAGGAATCCTCGGTAAATATGTGAAAAATCATTAAATCTAATAATAATTTATTAATTTGTAGCCATGGGAAGGGGTTGATGCAGACCAGGTGTTCATATTTTTGTAGGTATAATGGATCTTTCTTGATTGCATTTATTTAAATCTGCTGTTTTTGCTGAGAGATTTGCTTTAAAGTAAAGTTATCCAAAACTTGGAACAATTTAAAGTGTTACTAAACCCAGGACCCTGCATTCACTATATCTGGTCTCCCACAGTACACACAACATGGAAATGCAATTATGTTAGCAAATATAAACTGCTAAATACCTTTTCTGATCAGCAGTTATAGCAGTCTTGTGACTTCTATCAGTGTTCAGCTGAGCACTGGTTAAAGCTTGTAGGAAGAGTTTTCTCTAGGAGGATGTAGAACCTCTGTCTGGACAGTGCTGATTGGCCCTGTGCTGGTCACATGCACTCTCCCAAGAGAGGACAAAAAACTCTCTAGCAATATACACCAAATCTTAACATGTGCAGTGTCTCCACACAATGTATTTTATCAGGAGAGAAGAGGTAAACACTGGAAGAAGGGGAGGATCAGAGAAGTCAATCAAACAGTCTTTTTACACAATGCAGAGGATTAACCCCTTAGGTTCCACAGTGTATATGCAGTAAAGCATGCTTTTAATACTCAGACTGATTTTACTGTTGTGAGTTTAGTAACACTTTAACTGCAACCCCACCGCGCTATAGCAGAAAAACTTCTGCAGGGCGGTACGTGTGTGTGTGTGTGTGTGTATATATACATGATTTTGCATTTCCGGGTAGGGGGTGCGCACGTGCCTCCTTTCGCGGCCGGCAATCACTGGGTCCTGGCCGGTAATTACTCGCTGGCGCCCAGTGATTTCCGACGATCACTGATGAGGACTGTTTTGTTTACTAACAGCCATCCTCCCTGTTAGCTCGGGCACACTGCTCGGGCACTGATCACTGTATTGGTGTCACTGGGGATGTCAGTGAAACCAGGTCAGTTTCCTGCGGTGTCAAAATGTCCGTGTCAGTCCCGCTATAAGTTGCTGATCGCCGCCCTTACTAGTAAAAATGTAAAAAAAAATCCCATTGTATATATACCGGCATTTGTAAACGCTATAACTTTGACACAAACCAATTAATTTACACGTATTGGGATTTTTTTTTTTTTTTTTTTTTAGCAAAGACATGTCGCAGAATACATTTTGGCATAAATTTATGACGAAATTTTATTTTTTTACTGGGCATGTTTAATAGCAAAAAGTAAAAAATATTGTTTTTTTTATTTTCCCTCAAAACTGTCGGTCTTTTTTTTTTTTTTTTTTTTTTTTTTTTTTTTTTTGTAGCCCAAAAAATAAACGGTAGGCGATCAAATACCACCAAAAGAAAGCTCAATTCGTAGGAAAAAAAGGACGTAAATTTCATTTGGGTGCAGTGTTGCATAAGTGCACAATTGTCAGTTAAAGTAATGCAGCGTCGTAACGCAAACAATGGCCTGAGTAAATCCTCAGGAGGGCAAGTGGTTAAACAAGTAAATGGTGTGTAAACTGGGGTTTTCCTTCAATGACAACTGCATATTAAGATAATTGTTGATTGTAAGATTTAGGGCCCTTTCACACCACTTCAGCGCAAAAATGCGGTAAAAACGCATATACAGCAAAGATGCAGCAAGCAGGATCTTTCAAAATGCACAACACCCACAGCGAAGTGGTGTGAAGAATCCAAAGGGATTGCATATTTTTGCTATGTTTTTGGCATGGTTAAAATGCAGCTAAAGCACATCTGTGTGAAAGCAGCCTGAAGGGCCAAAAATATATGCATGTGTACTTTACCTCACCGATTATGCCTACAAAGGTCTCTTGTTGGTTCTTTAACCACTTGCCCTCCAGAGGATTTACCTCCCTTCCTAACCAGGCCATTTTTTGCATTATGGCACTGTTACTTTAACTGACAATTGCACGGTCATGCAACTCTGCACCCCAATGAATTTTATGCTCTTTTTTTTTTTTTTTTTTTTTCCCCACAAATTGAGCTTTCTTTTGGTGGTATTTGATCGCCTGTGCTTTTTTTTTTTTTTTTTTTTTTTTTTTTACGCTATAAAAAATAAAGACCGACAAAAAACCCTAATATTTTTTACTTTTTACTTTCAACATGTCCAGTAAAAAAATTTGAAACAAATATCAGAAATTTACGCCAAAATGGATTCTGCTACATGTCTTTGCTAAAAAAAAGAAATCCCGATACATGTAAATGAATTGGTTTACGTGAAAGTTATAGCGTTTAGCAATGGCGGTGTATATACTGGAAGTTTTTTTTATTTTTTTTTAATTTTTACTAGTAATGGCAGCAATCAGTGACTCATAGCGGGACTCTGGAAGGCATTCTGACACTGGGGGGAACTGACTTGGTGTCACTGACATCCTCAGTGAAACCAATACAGTGATCAGTGCTAAAAAAAAAACAAACAATAAAAAAACACTATCACTGTACTAATGGCACTGGGCAGGAAGGGGTTAACATGAGGGGCGATGAAAGGGTTAACTGTGTGCAAAGGAGTGTTTTACTGGGGGGCGGTGTGTGTTCACTGTAATCACACTGCTCTGGATGGCTGTGCTGTGCACAGCCATCCAGAGCAGTGTGCCTGAGCTGATCGGGAGGAGGACTGTTGGTAAACAAAACAGTCCTGTCTGACGGAGATCTTCGGAAATCACCAGGCACCGGCAGGTAATTATTGTTCGGGACCCGGTGATTGACAGCCGCAAATGGCGGCGCGTGCCCCCTACCTGGAAATGCAAAATCACGTGTGTGTGTGTGTGTGTATATATACTTGTCTTTGCGCACCTGTGCCGCACTGTAGCAGTATTTTTGCTGTAGGGCAGACGGGAAGCGACTTAAAGGGCTCCTCCTTGACTTGAGGCTCAGGTGGTGTAAAGCAATGTGGTTAAACTGAACATTTAAAAGAAAACTAAAGTTACGTGTAATATTCAGCTGCCTATTTCTCTTGGTCTACCTCTTGGGGTATTCCCTGAAGCTAGTCTCTTTAAAAGAATAAATAAATTATACAGAGTCGTAGACTGCTCCCCATCCTTTTTTTTTTTTTTTTTTTTTTTGCAGCTTGCTCACACTTGGTGTTGCTAAACCCAGGACTCTGCATTCACTAAATACCTTTTTTTATCAGCAGTTAGAGTAGTCTTGTGGCTATCGGTGCCCAGCAGAGCACAGAGCTTGTAGCCAATCAGAAGCTATCACAGCGATCATGTGACCCGGAACCGGGAGTCCTGGGCTCTCGGCCCTTGCATGCCGACGTAACACAAATATGCGGCCTCACAGAACTGGGCACCGCACAGCGCGCTCCAAGCACAAAGGCCGTGGTGTCAATGTGAGCCCCAGGTCCCGTTCTAACTATCGGGACCCAGGACTCCTGGTTCTGGGTCACTTGATCGCTGTGATAGCCTCTGGCTATCACAGTGATCAGTTACTGTACAGCCCACCACCTTGTTTTTGTTTTTTCTCTCCTATGAATGGAAGAGAGAGATACATTGCATAGAGAGGAAGAAAAACCTGTTTGTTACAAAAAAAAAAAAATCCTGACTTTTTGACCCAAACACTAACCCTGGCACTGAACTAGATCAAACCTTGATCTAGGTACTTTTTCTGTATTTTTTTTTTTAATATTTTATCTTTTTCTTTTTTTTTTTTTAACAGATTAAATAATGAAAAATACCTGGATCAAAGTTTGATCTATTTCAGTGCCAGGGTTAATGTTTGGGTCAAAGGTCAGGATTTTAATTTTTTTTTTTTTGTAAAATTGGTTAGTATTAGTGGGTTTTTGGTAAAAATAATAAAATGCGCACTATTGTTTCTGGGTTGTACTATGGTTGGTTACAAACAAATAATAACACACACATATGGTATCGCTGTGATCGTCAAGAGCTGGAAAAAATTTTTTTGCATTGTTCTTTGGTGGTAGGTTCTGGTTGTAACAAGAAACGCAGCTGAATTTAAAAACCCATTTTTTTTTTCTTTACTATTTTGGGCCAGTTTTCCTTTTGAGAATAATAAAAAAAAAAAATAAGGAGATATCCATTACCATTTACCACTAAACGGAAGCAGAATTTGTTCTGAAAAAAACAAGCTATAATCCACATGGATGTACAAAGTAGTTGTGGTGATATTGATGGTTTTACTAACACATGTCAAAGGTGCAAGATTGTGTTTTAGGCATTAAGATTTGTTTTACCCTTAGGCGTGAAGGGGTTAAGGTGAACTTCTGCATTGCTCAAACAGGGCAGTGTAATAGGTTCAAAATACTTTTGCCTTCCTTTTCACTCCTCTGTGTTCTGTTCAGTTGAAGAAAGTTCTGTGAAAGCTACACAGCTGTAGACCGATGTGACAGTGCTGATTGGCCTAGCACTATTGCATGGAATGAGTCGAAAGCTTCTGCATACACAGAAGTTCTGCATATTTCCTTTGGTTCCCAGTTCTCAACAGAGCAGTGGAAAAGCAAAGAAAATGTAGGTATATGCTGGGGAGGGGGTATAATGGTATACCTGGATTTGAGCTTTTAATAAGATCTAGTCTGATTGGTTTGTATTCGATCCAGGTTTTTGTTAATCATCCCTATGGTATTTTTAATACAAAGTTATACATAAGACATCTTAGGATATTTCTTTCTTTTCTCTTGATTAGCCCAAATTGTCTCTTGGGGATCTTTTCGAGGCAGAGTCTGACAGTGACTCAAAAGAGGAGACACCACAGAAAAAGAAGAAGAAATCTAATCAGGAGGAGGATGACAAGCTGCAGGAAGAGCTGAAAAAGAAAAAATCGAAATCTGGAAAATTGAAGGAAAAGTCCAAGCCTGAGGGGGAACCAGAGAGCCAGTCTACGGAATCCAAACCAAAGAAAAGACTGTCAGAAAGCAAAGAGGATCTGGGCAGTAAGAAACCTAAGAAGGATGACACCAAGGACTCTAAAAAGTCCAAGAAGGAAGAAGCCAAGGACACTAAATTCAGAGTGAAAGAAGACTTGAAAGAAAAGAAACCCAAAAAATCATTGGGATCAGAGCTGTCTAAGGAAGAAACATCACCTGTAGGACCAGAGGCAGAGACTGTTGGTGTAAGCAGTGATGTTCTTTCAGAAGACCGAGACAAAATGGGTCAGGATGAGGAGATCAGAAATCCAGAAACCACCCCTCCATATGAAGCAGAGGATCTCTCATTTGGGGGTCCTTTTGAAGAGGAAATGGATGATGTGAAACTGAAAAAAAAGAAAAAGAAACACAAAAAGAAAAATGACGACTCCAAGCCCATGTCGGTGGATGTGAGCCATACGGACAAGAAAAGCCTGGTGAAAAAGCAAAAATCTGTTGAAAAGTTGAAAGAAGCTCTGGCTGCAGAAAAACTGCCAGCTCCAGTGTCGAAGAGGCCTAGTACTGATGACAAAGTTAAGAAATCTGTGGAATCCTTGGCAGAAGTAAGTGTCTAATGAAAATTATGAACTAGTATGCAAATTGGATACAAAGTAAATAGCAGATTTGTCCTAATTTGTGAAATCTCCAGAATATATGCATAGACAGTTGACCTGTTCCCACAGTGTACAGATGGATATTTTTTATTCTAATCAATATTTAGGTATATTCACTACTTTTGGGGGATTGGGTAATTGTATGCATACTAGCTGTAAATCAAGTTGAAATGGCATAGACCTCTTAGTGGTGCAAGACACTCCTAAAGACATCACAATGCATAGAGGAAAACCAGATCTGTATGTGTTCATTTTTTTATAGTTGCTATGCTCTTGTATCAATGCTTCAGCTTATATTCCTTTTGGGGGAAAGTGGTTGTGTTTTTTTTTCCTCCCCTGCCCCAGTCTCATCTCATTTAGACTTGCTTTGACTTTAACGCACATTAAAGTGCCTACCTTCAACATACTTTTTTTGATGCTTCTGTGACGTGATATTTTTTTTTTTTTCTCTGAGCTTTAATAAAGTTTGCCAAATGCCCTGTGCACCCACCCCCACACACTCACACTCAGCAGATCTCCAGCTTTATTAGTACCCTTGTTCAGCAGATCTCTTGATCAGTAGTACCCCCAGCTCTGCTGGTGCCACGTTCAGTAGTACCCCCAGCTCTGCTGGTGCCACGTTCAGTAGTACCCCCAGCTCTGCTGGTGCCACGTTCAGTAGTACCCCCAGCTCTGCTGGTGCCACGTTCAGTAGTACCCCCAGCTCTGCTGGTGCCACGTTCAGTAGTACCCCCAGCTCTGCTGGTGCCACGTTCAGTAGTACCCCCAGCTCTGCTGGTGCCACGTTCAGTAGTACCCCCGGCTCTGCTGGTGCCGCGTTCAGTAGTACCCTCGGCTCTGCTGGTGCCGCGTTCAGTAGTACCCTCGGCTCTGCTGGTGCCGCGTTCAGTAGTACCCTCGGCTCTGCTGGTGCCGCGTTCAGTAGTACCCCCGGCTCTGCTGGTGCCGCGTTCAGTAGTACCCTCGGCTCTGCTGGTGCCGCGTTCAGTAGTACCCTCGGCTCTGCTGGTGCCGCGTTCAGTAGTACCCTCGGCTCTGCTGGTGCCGCGTTCAGTAGTAACCCTCAGCGCTGCTGATCCCGCCACGTTCAGTAGTAACCCCAGCGCTGCTGATCCCGCCACGTTCAGTAGTAACGCCCAGCGCTGCTGATCCCGCCACGTTCAGTAGTAACGCCCAGCGCTGCTGATCCCGCCACGTTCAGTAGTAACGCCCAGCGCTGCTGATCCTCCCCTTTCTCTGGTCGTCTCTCGTCTCCTGCTATAGTCCTCCCACGCATGAGATTGCTAGTTCTCCAGTCCCCAGGTCTGCTGATCCTGTACCACTCAGTCCTCTCTCCAGTCCCCACTCACCTTCTGCTATAGCATTCCTATGTTGTATGCCACATGTGCCGTCTCCTAGTTGCTCTGCTCCAGTCTGGGCCCTGCTCACCTTCTGCTATAGCGTTCTAACTGTATCTTACAGAAGCGAGTACAACCCTCACATTTTTGTAAATATTTTATTATATCTTTTCATGTGAAAACACTGAAGAAACGACACTTTTCTACAATGTAAAGTAGTGAGTGTACAGCTTGTATAACTTTAAATTTTCTGTCCCCTCAAAATAACTCAACACACAGCCATTAATGTCTAAACCGCTGGCAACAAAAGTGAATACACCCCTAAGTGAAAATTTCCAAATTGAGCCCAAAGTGTCAATATTTTGTGTGGCCACCATTATTTTCCAGCACTGCCTTAACCCTCTTGGGCATGGAGTTCACCAGAGCTTCACAGGTTGCCACTGGAGTCCTCTCTACTCCTCCATGACGACATCACGGAGCTAGTGGATGTTAGAGACCTTGCGCTCCTCCACCTTCTGCTTGAGGATGCTCCACAGATGCGCAGTAGGGTATAGGTCATGTCGCTTTCTTGGTGCTCTAAAACCAAAGCAACGTGTGAACAAAACTGTAGGCTTACCTTTGTATTTAGTGACAGGTGCTTTGATTCAGAGTGCTTCAAAAAGTGACATTGGACGTGCTCTTTTTAAAGTGTGTGTGTGTGTGTGTTCAGCAGGCAAAATAAGTATTGTACATGTTACCATTTTTTCTAGATAAATATATTTCTAAAGGTGCTATTGACATGACATTTTCACCACGATAGGAACAACCCATGCAATCCATACATACAAAGAAACCAAAAGAAATACGTTCATAAATGAAGTTATGTGTGATAAAATAGAATGACACAGGAAAAAAGTATTGATCACGCTAAGTTATTTAATACTTTGTTTAAAACCCTTTGTTGGTAATGACAGCTTCAAGATGCCTTCTCATGCATTGCTCAGTTGTGATTTTTGCCCAATCCTGCCCCTTGTCAGTGCAAATTATTAGAGTAACAGTAAAGTGGCGAGCGAGCGACCAGATATGTTTATTGCACCACATCCCTTAGAGTTAAGGATATTCAATAGAAAGGATGGGACTTTCAGGGTGCATGAACATGAATACTATACACATTAAAAAGATATATATAATTTTATCTCATATTTTTAAAACAAAAAAAAAAATACAAAAACATAAAAACAATTTCAGTACTAAGTGTTGAACCGAAATTCAAACTTGATTATATAATTGTAGTTACTCCCTACATGTTTCGCCCTCACGGGCTTCTTCAGGGTAGATTTTTGAAGAGATTTCAACCGCCGAGGCAGTCTGTTGAAAGTTGCAGAAGGATATATGGGTGTATTCTGTCTAAAGATCTAATTGGCCTATAATGTCCAAAACAGTTTGAGAGTATAATGGGCATCAAATATCTATCTCCTTATATATTGCAATTCAAGTAGCAAGGACAGTGTACACTCAGTATCTTGGAAGCTGTTTTGGAACCAACTGAAGCTAACCTCGTCTGGACTGGTGTCTTTTTCTGACACCTAGTGGTGGAATTGGAAATTGATCTTCAATTAAAATCTTTTTTCCCTACAATGGTGGGATCTGGGGGCGTTTGTATGAAGAGCTCTCTTATGCATGCACCCTCCATATCGTCATGAAACTGGTCAACAAGCAGCACTGGTGACCTTCAGATACCAATGGCACAGCTCCATGCAGTGACTTCACTTATGGCTGCTTTCCTATTACCCTAGGTTCACGTTTATGCAGATTTCAGTGCGTTCTCCAGTTTGCAGAAACGTCACAGTCCATTTAATATAGTTTCCTATGGATCTAGTTCACGTCAGTGCCTTTTGAGCCGGAGTGTTTTTTTGGAAAGGCTGAGGAACTTTTTTTTTTCCCGCAGCAGAATGTGTTTTGCGTGTAATAGACTTCAATGGACCTGCACCAAAAACGCAAGTGTTTGTGTTTTTGATTCTTTTTGCAGGAAAGTATGACAGTTCTGTTCATGTAGTGTGACTTTGATGCAACTCTACACTCTGGCACTCAGCATCAAAGTAGCATCGCCCTAACCCTAACATTTAACCCTAACTTGCCCCCTAACATGTGACTTTGGACTCATAAAGGTTCCTGCATTACTTTGATGCTACTTGAGTGGCAGAGAGTGTAAAGTCGTATCGATCACATTACGTGAACAGAACTGTTATACTTTCCTATTAGCCAAACAAAAAACCCCCGCAAAATGCATAAAAAGGGCGTCAAAAACAAGTGTATGAAAAATGAATCGGCTGCAACCTGCAGAGATGAACCTAGCCTTAAGAGTGTTTTTGTATTGCATTTTCACTTCTTTCTTGCTGGGACTGTTAAACCTTTCTTACTTTTGGCCCCCTGGACTTTCCCAGGGGAACCCAGGATGTGGATGTTAAGTCTTCTAGTTTCAAGCTCTCTTTGGAAAATGTTGACAGCTGCTTAAAAACTATCTATGAGAAGCTTGACATTCAAAAGAACGTGTCCATGTCTCTACATGACTGCATGTATCAAAGCCTTAAGAAGGAAAAGGGTTCTGTTTTTCCTGTCCACAGAATGCTCAGAATTTGTTGAAAAGAATGTCTTGAATCAGAAAAAGAGCATGTCCATTTTATGACAAGCCTTTTATCTAAGTCTCTAAACTACTGACTTGTTTTCAGGCAATGGGTATCCTTAAGGACCTCATGGACTAAAGCAGCCTTTTTCAACTAGTGTGCCTTCAGGTTTCTTCAGGGGTGCCATGGAAAATGCCTAAAAGTTGCCCAAAAATTTGTATACAAGCCAGCAGGTGGATTTAGCCTGCCTTTTAGTTACACAAAGTACAGGTTTTCATTGTGCACCATTACAATTTTCTAGCTGCTGACATCCTAACAACCAATTATGTCATCAGCTAAGGATGTCGGGCGCCTGCACAGTATCCTTGTTTGCCCCTCTTTTGCCCCTCTCCATCAGCACTGAGGGGGACACATTAGGAGAGTGATGGGGTGAAGAGAAACAATGGATACTAGTCAGTACCAGTGTGCAAAGGTGTTTTTGCTTTAGAATAATAGGAAATCGCCTCTAACGATCATGGAATGTCACACCTACGTTTGTGGATTTACTGCGAACAGACTTGAAAACTTTCCCACTCTGTTTTAGTGTCAGAATCTTTAGTGTTTGAGACTACAGTTTCCAAGCAGAGCTCTAATAGGGTGCCTCAAGATTGTGCAGAATTCGGGTTTAAAGGGTGTGCGCGCTCCCTTAACGGTGAAAAAAGGTTGACGGGAAACACACTGGACTAAAGAACAGAAGTATTGAAATTAAATTAGGAATCCACCTTCGACAATGCTAAGCCAGCTTTGGCCACTACATGTCTGGCTCATGACCTTGAGTACAGGCTCACACACGGGAGAAGCAGACACATCTTGAGTCACTTGTGGGGACTTATTCACAAAAGGGAACAGACTTGAGTACTTTCACCCCTCACAAGTAGTACAGTGTCACCATGGTGACACTGTACTCTGTATTTTAAAAAGGTGTCAGAATCTTTGAGGATTTTGCTGCTGAGACTACAGCTCTCATCAA